ATATTATGCTAGGCATTGTTCTAATGCTCCACTTGCATTATCTTAATTCTGATAACAGTCCTTTGGAGGAAACTGGGCTGCACAGCGGCTAAGTTGCTTGCCCAGGTGTCACAAGTGGAAAGTCAGAAAAACAAGATCTGAGCTCAGGACTCTGACCCATGATCGTGACTCCTGAGCCTGCGCTCTTAGCTGCAGTAACGTACTTCCTCTCATTGTGGGAATGTAGGCTCAGAATTTGCAGAACTGGCTTAGATGAATTGAATAGAAATCTTTTTTTGTCTAAGATTATCTTCTGCACAGCCTTCTACACTCCATAGCAGTAATCTCTTGCAAGTACATGAATGATAATATCAGAAAAGACATTTTTACTCCAAAACCAAGAGTAGCTGAGAATGTCTAAAAACTCAACTCTTGGAGAGTGAAAGATGGGTACAATATCATCATCGTTTAGGCTAATTAGGAGTTGCTTTTTCCAGTCCGGGAGATGATGAAAAAACAGTTCACAACTGTAAGACGGCCAATACTAGGGATGCAGTTTGTCAGAATGAAACACATACCCAGTAGACTTGTGCAGAGTTTAGGCTCACAACCTTGGCCTAAATAAGACTAGCACATTATACTGTAAAACAGGACAAAAATCTCACAAAGAGCTTGAAAGCGTAAGAAGGAGAGATTTGAAGCTAGAAATTCATTACGTTAAAATACTGGGTCCTCTCAATACCCAGTATTTGAGGAATACTGCAATAGATAAATATATCTTGTAATAAAGAGATACTGCAATGTATTGTGTTTAATGAAGTACCTATATGTGCTTTGTATTTTCGAAAGAATATATTTGTGATTTTTTAAAAAAGTGAAACGAGGATGGAGGCGGGCTAGAAAGGGTCAATGGGGGGAAAGGGGACATATGCAATACTTTCAACAATAAAGATTTAATTTTTAAAAAGTGAAACAAATTTTTACCTAGATAATCCGGGATATCATAAAGTCTCCGAGAGTTCACTGAGCTAATAAATGCTTTATGTAACCACACACCTTAATTCTGATCTACTTCTGAGAAAACAAACCTCTAACTGATGAAAATCTCCTCACCCCTCATCTTCTCATTTTCCTTCACCATATTCTCTTTTCCTCCTTTGGTTCCTATTCTACCCTCTAAAGCCCAAATACTGAATGGATTAGGGGTTCACATGTGGAAAATGGGCTTACCAATACTAGAAGTACACTTTCTCTCACACTCTGCCCAAGTCCAGCCATGAAGGGAACATCAAGGCACAGCTCTTTTCTACTACAAGAGTAGGATGGGTAAGGAAGTCACTCCAAATGAACAGTTTCTCACCCTAGCCAAAACCATGAAAATCAAGACCCTTATATCCCTCCTAAGGCCTATCACTCAGGGACTTGCTAATTAATGCTCTCACAAACTCTCCTTATTTAGAATCAGTTTCTTCTAGTAAAGTTAGGTCTTTGGCCCAGCTGGTGTGGCTCAGTGGTTGAGCGTCGACCTATGAGCAAGGAGGTCACGGTTCGATTCCGGGTCAGGGCACATGCCCTGGTTGTGGGCGTGATCCCCAGTAGGGGGTATGCAGGAAGCAACTGATCAATGATTCTCTCTCATCACTGATGTTTCTATCTCTCTCTCCCCTCCTCTCTGAAATCAGTAAAAGTCCATTTAAAAAATAATAATAAAGGTAGGTTTTTGGCAGCAGGTAGCTTCATCACTTACCAGCCTGGCAAATGAAATAATGCCCCAGGGAGCACAAGTCTACTTTTGATGAGACCCGGTTGGACTTTCTGGACACGTAAGTGCAGCTGGTGGGCTTGGTGGCTCGGCGGGCTGTGACATCTGCAGAAGGAAGACCAGACCCAGATGAGCTTCATACTCAAAGGTCAAACATTTAAAAAACATGTTTACTGAATTTATTGGGATGACACTGGTTAATAAAAAGTCAAACATTTAAAAAAATAAATATAGCCTTAGCTGGTGTGACTTGGTTGCTGGTTCAATTCCCAGCCAGGGCACTTACCTAGGTTATGAGTTCAATCCCCTAGGGAGGCAACTGATCCATGTTTTTCTTTCTCTCTCTCTCTCTCTCTCTCTCTTTCCCCTCTTTCTAAAATAAGTAAAAGCATATCCTTTGGTGAGGATTAGGAAATATATATATATATGAAAACCAAATTTTGCTACCTTTCAATAGATGAAAAGTTAGGTTCCCTCACCACATATATTATAGATTATTTTTTCATATTATGTGTTCTTTGTCACAAAGCTAGGCATTAATTTATTTAGACTTTATTGAAGATACTTAGGACACATATGCCTTGGAGTTTTCTCTAAGACCCCAAGATTATGGTACATAATTTTGAAAATATCTAAGAAAGACAACAGGTGAACAAATTTCTCTCCTAGTTTCTGCATTAGAAACCTTGGAGCCAAGAATGATGAAGAGATATTTACAAAGTGACCATAAAAGGTTTCCCACTTCAGAATCTTGCACAGTATTTTCAGTGAACTATTAGGTAAGTTAACTTTTGATAGGCTCTGAGAAAATCCCATCATCTTTGCTACACAGACAAATCAAAGGCTGCAGCAGAAGAGTAGAAATATTACAGAGGAATGATGGTACTGAGTAAAATGACTGATTTTTCTGTATACAGGAAGATTTAAATGTTTTCTTTCTCCTGTTCCTGAATAAAAGTAAGGAAGTTTCCCTCATAAATATCAAACCTCAGAGCCTTACTTGGGTTGTTGTTTTCTTGATCTTTCCCCAGCAGCATTAAATTTTGCCCAATCCACCACTTCTTTCCTTCTTCCAGAAAGTCCCAGATGAGATCTTGAACCTCCTGGTTCCAAGTGTAAGCAAGGTGTCCTCCCTGGGCATGGCAGTAATTTTCTGCTTCCTTAAAGCTGCAGTGAAACCTGTGAAGCTGATAACAGTAACTTTTACCACGGAGCTCTGGGCTGCTCAGCTCGCTTCCTAGAATGAAGCTTGTGCTGAGGTATAACCAAAGCCAGGCTCTTCTCTGGAATAACATTTTCTCTGTGAACTGTGAGCACAGAAAGTGTGGAGGCTCAGACGCTGCCTGGGCCTTTATATTCTTGGTGAGTTTGTCTTGTTCAATACTATTATTCTCTTAGGAATTGGGAATAATTGTCAAGGAGAAAAAAGGTTTTGTTTTGTTTTAGGGACCAGGTGGAGTTCCTATAAGCTGAAAACAAACATATTAAGAAAGCAATGGGCCTTTATAGCTGGGCCACTACCATCTGTGTTTACACAACTGGGTATGCCTTCAGCTTTATAATAGATCTTTATTTGCTAAATGTAAGCTGTAAGGAAGTAGAGAATGATGAATATCTAAGTCAGTGTGGTTAAAAATTGAGTAATGTATTATTTTGTTTAAAAAAAAGAAAGCTATGAATTTAAGTTGTTGTATTGTTTCTTAAATACATTCACTCTATCCTAAATCTCTTATTTAACTATACCCCAAATCTCTTATATATTCATAAAAACCAAAGAATAAATATTTAATGAAGGAATGAATACAGATTAAATACAAACACAACTGAAAACCAGTGAAATTAAAATTGGCTGAACTAAATAGCCACTTGTTAAATACATATGGTTCTGGCCTACAGCCACACAGGTCTTTTTGACTTGGTCACGCAGTAGGGAAGAATCAATTCTCTTGTTGCTTTTCTTTAACTTGCTGAAAAACCTCTGTTCATACATGCCACTCGATCCTCACCTGCAGCACATCTATCAGTTATGTTCTTAACCAGTTCTTTTTCTTGGTGCCAAAATGGGAGATAAACACAAATAAATATGGGCACTGGAATCACTTGGCAGGTTTCAGGGTTCAGCTGTTTATCCTACTGATACTTACAATTACTCTTTAAAACCAAAATGAACGTGGTACCAAAATTAAAAATTCTCTGAAGTGTAGACCCCAATACATCCCTGTTTAAAAAAATACTACATTAACCAAGTGAAAGATTAATATGGTCTAGTAGTTCCTACATTCAAAAGTCTACAGTCTAATTAGGAAAGACATAATTGCATTTAATAAAAATATAAGTTAATAAAGGAAGTGCTACTAGAGAGGTACAGCTTCAACCTATGAAGGTTCGGCCGAGGGAACCATTTCCGGCACTTGAACACATAGGATGGTCTTCTTTAGGCAGATGGCATGGGCATCTTGGCGGAGGAGCCAATATGAGTAAACGCACAGAAGTGGGAAAGTGGAAGGAATTTATAGAGAAATACTCCTCTGTGCGGGTCCGTGTGGGTGTCCTTGGGAGAGAGTAGTGAGAACTGAAATGACAAGAGAAATGGTTCAAACGCGAGGAAGGTTTCTGAGCGGAGGAGTCCGCCAAGCCTGTGCTGCAGTGAAATGGTTCCGGGGCAGGATACTTCCAACCATAAAGACACCCATGGTCTTGATTTTCCAACATCCTCATAAACATACGGACATGCACACAAACATACATTCGTTTTTAGGCATGTTTCAGTGAAACCTGAAGTTGTTGGCATCATCTTTGAAGTCTACACGGGTATTTCACTCAGCGATGCAATTCATGTCGACCCTTTTTACAGCGCCTGATGCTTTCTCAGTACAGGCTTTATCTAGAGCACAGGCATGCCAATACAGTCTTCAACTGAAAAGGTCAAGAAATTGGTGACTGGGTCGCTAAGAACCGAAGAATCAACATATAAGTACTTTCTGTCCAGGCTGCAGAACCACAGACGAACTCAGCTCAGCGGTCCACCTCAGTGCACAGGGACCTCCTACGCGCCCGGCGCGGACGCCGGAAGTCGGGCGGGCGGGCAGGCGGA